GTAAACATTAGCATTTCAAGAATACAAAGATGATAACGAAATATTACGCATAATTTGTTTACCAAGTCTATGTGTATGTAATCGCATTTTGAACCATACATTAATTTTGTTTAATGTGCCTAGTGTAATGCTCTCTGATTATCTAAATTGAAATAAATGGGACTGGGTTCAAACTTATAAATTAAAGTTTACACATTTTAGCTATCACAATTAGTATATAAATTCACGCTCAATTGATAAGAGTAATCTTACATTGATTTTCAGGAAGACCAGACATTGCCCACGTGTTAACACTACAGTACTATGGCGTAACCACACAAGTACCTGACATCCTTGTGGATCATTCACATCATTTATATACAACGATACGTCGTATACAGTGATTATTTCCGATCCATGATCGCGTCGTCAATCAATATGCATAGTATGAACAGGGCAATTTTACCCATCTCGCTTACATGACTATCAAACTCATTATTATTATTAGCAATGGTGATATGCAGCAAATACATCATCTCAATGAAAAATGGCCCTAGGGGATGTTGCAAGACAACCACCAGTATGAATGAGATGGGTCACCCTGCTAACCGAATATGTATGTGGACTGTTAGCAAAACTTGCCAAAGCAATGCCAGACCATTTACAATGTTCACAACGAAACCTCCGGTGTTATCGGAAACCTTCCGATCTATATAGTGACATAGCTTCTGGTATATAAATCCTATGGTATAGGATAATAGTAAGAGACGCGACCTAGCTTAACTCGAATGGGCTCTAACACCCCTATTACCCTTTATCTCATATCGGGTGGTCAATTTTTCGCAATAGTGGAATTTTCTAACCATATGAGACCTGAGTTAGGAGGGTAGGAGGAGTATCCTGTTTAACCATCTCTCTATTCTTATGAATTCATTGAATGATATTATTTAATATAAGATATCAGTCAGTCAGTTGCAACGTAGAAATTCGTACGTATGTACATAAGTTCATGTTGCCATACCATATTAGCACAGAGACGCAAATGTCAAATCAAATCCCATAGTGATAAAGATAGTAGAGGTATTAATGGTAATGAAGAAGACTAGAGTTCGAAGATATTATTCAAGAAGTAAAATACAGTGAGATAAGGTTAGAAAGACAAAGGTAGAAGTGCTAACGAATCCAGAAGATTAGGATTTTCGAGAGCACAATGAATGGATGCACTTGCGCCATTGCAAACGATTTTGAGCCATGTCGTTCAAGGTCTCTTATCATTAGTGACTATCGTCCCGACCGAAGCTGCTACCTTGACGTGGTGGTCGGGCTTTCCTATCGTCATGACCCAACCGAGCTATATTGGCTGGATCATATGTTCCCGAAGGTTCTACCATGCGAGGCAGGTCTATTGGAGAACGATGAGACTAAAAGCAACTACTGAAGGTCTGAGGGCGAAGTCGTACTGCTGACTGTGATGGAGGGGTGTGACAGCAGTAAAGTGTTTCCCTCGGACAACCAGCATCTGCAGCGATGCTGCCTTCTGACAAGGAAGGAAGGGTTAGAAAAGGTCAACCCTAAAAATGTCACACCTCACCCTACCTCACGCATTTCCGTCTCCTTGGGTAATGGTGTCCACTAAGGACTCTAAAAGAGCGGAGCTAATCCTCTAAATACCTTTCATAAAAAGTCCGTATGTGACCGGCCTGAAGCAGTTGTCCCTTGGGCTCTGCGGTCACGCACCCAGGTCGTTAAGACCATCACTAATCTATATTCTTTTTCAGGTCCCTCAAGAAACAACCTTCCATGTTGTGGGCAGCCTTGGAAGTGATAACTGCCCTCATACCGGTAACAGCACACGAGAGACCAAATTGGTCAAAATCAAATATAAGATATCGTTAATGCAAAGTCAACAATATATTGTAAATGCTTTACGATTAATTAATCATAAAATTGTTTGAAACATTCAATCATTCAATCATTTTTTTTCTCTCTATCAATTAATTCACAACACATTTAGGCTGTCCTCAATACAGTCCTTCAGTGATAACAGATCGTGATGTTGTTGAACGAGATAAGGATAAATATTTATTATTTTCATGTATTGCTTATATTCATCAAGTGAGCGTGATTTTTTTTTTAAAAAAAATCGTTTTGATTTCATATTCTTATTGATGATGACCTGATTGAATATTTGGGTTAGTAGTAGTTCGTTTTTTTGTTTATATTTCACACACACAAATTGTATCTTTATTAATCGCATAATCTATTTAAGTGTGTATGTATATAGAACGTTTACAACTGATCACTTTACTTACTTACTCACTTACGCCTGTTACCCCCAATGGAGCATAGGCCGCCCACCAGTTTTCTCCAACCAACTCTGTCCTGGGCTTCTCTCTCCAGTTCTGTCCAATGTTTGTTCATTCCCCTCATATTTTCCTCTATTTCTCCGCGCAGTGTGTTCTTTGGCCTTCCTCTTTTCCTTTTGCCTTGAGGGTTCCATGTGAAGGCTTGTCTCGTGACGCAGTTAGGTGCTTTTCGTAGTGTGTGTCCTATCCACTTCCACCGCTTCTTCCTATCACACAGTTGGTTGTTGCTGATGGTGTCTGGCGAACAGATACGAAGTATTTTGCGTAGACAACTGTTAATAAACACTTTTATCTTGTGAATTATGGCTTTAGTAGTCCTCTAAGTTTCCACTCCATACAGTAGAATTGTCTTGATGTTTGTATTGAAATTTGTGTGACTTTGGTGTTGGTTGATCTTTAATTCCTACTGAGTCAGTCAACAAGAACATAGAACTCCGCCTGTGGACCCCCTGGGGCTACTGCCGGTCCCAAGCGCGGATAAAGTAGGAGGGGTTGGTGACCCCATCCCTCAAAAAACTAACTCGCTAAAAAACGCTAACAAGTAAAAATAATTCAAACCATTTAAACTCTGCTCTGGGAGTTAGGTCTTTTAGAAAAGTTATGACGTCTCATGATGAAAGCCGAGTTCCATCGGAAGTCACGAGGTTGATGTTCCTCCTGACAACCAGAACCCTTCCGCTGTGTGCGAAGCCGGGAATTAACACTCGCCTTCATACTCTCAAAAGCACATGAGACCAAATCGGTCAGAATCAAATTCCCACAAAGTCTAAACATGTATCATGATTGTTTTCTTGATTATAAGTCAAGAATCTTTGTTGAATATCTCACACGACCATAAACTATAGTATCAATATTTATAGTCAGAATTGATCTGGCATTGAGAAGACAGACAGACAGATGCAACGCAGAACTTCGTACATAAGTACATCAGTTCATGTCGCCATACCACATCAGCACAGAGATATAATTGTCAATTCAAATCCAATAGTAGAAGAGATAGTAAAGGTATTTTAGAAGTAATCGGAGAAGTTAGAATTATTATTCACGAAGTATGATTGAATGAGATAAGTTTAGAAAGTAAAAACTAGAGGTGTTGAAGAACCCAGAAGATTAGGATTTGAGAGAACACAAAGAATAAATGCGCTGGCGCCATTGCGAACGATTTTGAGCCATGTCATTATTCAAGGTCTCTAGCCATCGATTATTATCATCTCGCGGACCCCAACCAGGTAGTCGACAATTACCGACATGGCTAAGTCCACTCGTCAATGACTTCATGGATTTATGCCATGTTTTGGTCTGGCCGCCCCTAACTTTCTCCCAACCTACTCCTACACTACAAAACAAAGTTCGTCGAGGCAGTCGGTGGTTCGGCATACGCAAGACATGTCCCAACCACCTCAACTGATGAAGTTTCACCACTTCATCGATTGATCTGCCATTCTTACCTAGTACCCGTTTCCTAATAACAGCGTTGCTCACTCAGGTGTCCCACGATATACGAGCAATGCTTCGAAGACACCTATGATCGAAAACCAATAACCGACGAGTATCTTCTACTCTCATTGGCCATGTTTCTCAGCCATAAAGTAAGACGGAGCGAACCACTGCGCAGTACACTCGTCCTTTAGTCAGCAAACGGATATCTCGCCTACGCCATAAGTGACGCAGGTTGGCAAAAGCTAATCGAGCCTTCTGTATCCGTGCCGAGATTTCGTCAGTCACCAGGCCATCAGCACTGATGAGACTCCCAAGATGAGTGAAGCGGTCTACACGTTCGACCACTTCACTCCCTATCACTAGTTCAGGTGCCGATGAAACCCAATCTTTAAGCAACGTTTTGCATTTCGAGGGGGAAAACCGCATCCCGAACATGCTTGCATTGTTGCTTAGGGTAGTCAGAAGACTCTGCATTTTGTCAGCGTCTTCACCAAATAGGACTATGTCATCGACATATTCTAAGTCAATAAGCGAGCCACCTGGTATAAAGTCTACTCCTGAAAATTCAGACGAGGATAAGGTTATTTCTAGGAGCACGTCTATGATAAAATTAAACAAGAATGGAGAAAGTGGACATCCTTGACGGAAACCACTTGATGTAGAGAATTCCGATGACAGTTCGCCATAAGCCCTCACTCGACCAGTGGTGTTCGAGTATAGGGCTTGTATAAGGTTAATGTACTTCTTTGGTACACCTTTCAATGACAGACACTGCCACAGAACCTTACGATCCACTGAGTCAAATGCCGCCTTAAGGTCTAGGAAAACAAGTATTGTAGGACGCCTAAATGTGTGTCTATGTTCCAGGACCTGTCTGAGTGTGAAGACGTGGTCTATACAACCACGTCCAAGTCGAAAACCAGCCTGGTTTTCTCGAGTCTGCTCTTCACGAGCTTTCGTTAAGCGTCGAAGTATTACTGAGGCTAATATTTTAGATACTATATTAGTTAGACTTATTCCCCTGTGATTGTCACAAGAAGACTTCTGTCCTTTCTTATAGATTGGGACAATCAGTGATTGAGACCAGTCGGATGGGATTACGTCCAGTTCCCAGATTCTACCTAAGATCTGAGTCAATCTAGCTGCTAAAACTGGACCACCATCCTTAAATATCTCAGGGGTCAGTCTATCAGGACCTGCAGCTCGTCCTCGCTTCAGATTTCCTAACGCTTTTTCAGCTTCATTAAGACTAGGCGGACTTACGTCGATTTGCCATTCAGGATGACTGGAGATCGTGGGTAACTGAAGAGTGGCTCGTGGCCAGTTGAACTGATCCCTAAAGTGTTCTGCCCATCGATCCAGTCTCCTGGATTGAGAATATACCACATCAGCACAGAGAGACGTAACTGTCAGTTCATATCCAAGAGTGATAGCGATAGTAGAAGTATTAGCAGTAATGGAGAAGATTAGGGAGCAAAGATATGGTCCGAGAAATATAGTTCAGTGAGATAAATTTAGGAAGAGATAGAGATGGTGACGAATTCAAAAGATTAGAATTTGAGAGAACCCCAAAAGTGGATGCACCTGCGCCATTGCAAACGATTTAGAGCCATGTCATTCAAGGTCTCGAACCATTGGTGACTTTCGTCTCGCGGACCTCAACCACTTAGCCTGCATCTACCAACATGACACAGTCCGCTTATCAGTGGCTTCATGGATTTGTGCCATGTTTTGGTCTGGTCGCCCTTAGCTTTCTTCCAATCTACTCCTACACTGCAAAACAGCTCGTCGAGGTAGTCGGTGGGTAGGCATACGTAACACATGCCCCAACCACCTCAAATGATGAAGTTTCACCACTTCATCTATTGATTTGCCATCCTTACCCAGAACTCGTTTCCTAACGACAGCACTGCTTACTCGGTTGTCCTAGGATACACGAGTAATACTTCGGAGACATCGATGATCGAAGACTAGTAACCTACGAATGTCTTCTACTCTTAACGGCCATGTTTCCCATCCGTTTAGTAGGACGGAGGGAACTGCTGAACAGTACACTCCTCTTTTGGTTGGCAAACGGATATTTCGTCTACGCCATAAATGTCGCAGGTTGGTAAAAGCCAATCGAGCCTTCTGTATCCTTGTTGAGATCTCGTCAGTCACCAGGTCATCAGTACTCACGGATGAGACTCTGCAGACAAGTGGAGTGGTTGACACTCCCGACTACTTCACTCGCTGTCACTAGTTCAGGTGCCGATGCACTCCAATCTTGAAGCAACATTTTACGTTTCGAGGGTGAGAATCGCATGTCGAACATGCTTGCATTGTTGCTTAGGGTGGTCAGAAGACTCTGCATTTTGTCAGCGTCTTCACCGAATAGATTTATGTCATCAGCATATTTCAAGTCAGCAATTGTGTCTCCTGGTAAAAGGTTCACTCTTGAAAAGTCAGACGATGATAATGGTAACTCTAAAAGCATATCTACGGCAAAGTTAAACAAGAATGAGGAGATTGGACAACCCTTACGGACACCACTTGAAGTGAAGAATTCCGATTACAGTTCGCCATATGCTCCTACTCGAGTGCGTGTATAAGTTTAATGTACTTCTTTGGTACACCTTTTAATGACAAACACTGACAGAATGTTATAGAATCCGCTCAAGCGCTAAAGGATATTGTTTACTACTCAACAATGCATCACTTATGTGTTTTTATTTTGCTTATATTTCGTGTAACTTTTTACTTGTAGAAGTATACTACTTTAAACTAAAATTGTTGCTCTTAATTTAGTCTAGCAGTTATTATACATAGAGATGCATCCAAAACGAATAGAGTAACTTATTATCAAGTTTCATATCATTGAAATTGTGAGTCGGTCAACATTAGATCACCATTGGAAACCTAGAAGTAATAGACGTATGATTTGTCCTAGCATATAAGACTCATTAGCAGTGCTCATTTATGACCCAGCGAGCATGAAATGAACCCCAGGATTTCCAGTCTTGTGCGCAAACACTTAACTTCTTGACCACTAAGTCTCATACTCGACTCGGCATTTGTTACAAAGCTTTCGTTTATTGTAAAAAGAAACATCTCCAACATTTCTTCATTCTAGAATAAACTTTTGTATAAACATTTGTTATGCATGCGCGCAAACACGTCACCTGATATGCTGGAACTATTACGAGTTTATCTTAGTTGGAAAACAAGAGCAAGAGTCGAGGATCTTGAGACACGACAGGCTATTCTAATCCGAGTGTCCCAAACCCCCATTGAGTAGAAGAAGAAGATTTGATGTGAAGTAGAACATGTATTCTACAAGCATCCAGAAAGTACGAGGTCCGAGTCCAGAAGAGAATCAGGATCCCGCACAAGGGATCTGGGTCCATGTCATAAAACGTTGCAGATAATGCGTATTTATACATTTAGGTCGAATAGAAAACAACATTCAAGTACGTGACATTGATAGCTGCGACGACCATAATATTGACCAGTAGGAATAGACCAATAGAATTAGACTTACAAATAATTCTCTTAGGTTATTGGATGAATATCCTAACAACACCCAGTTTTCTTTTTTTATAAACTATAACTATTTTTGCAATTATTACATGGTTAAAATTTCTCTTAATTTATTATTATTACTAGTGTAAAACTGGTCCATTTGAAGAACATTCACATACATTGTATGGTATAAGTGAAATACCGAAATGGGAAAAAGTCAATTCTGGTTTAATTAAAATGTACAAAGGTGAAGTAAGTTACTATCATCTAAATCCCAGTTGATATATATGCTGTTTGACACATTACGTATATATATATGGAGAAATCCAAGCAATATTACTACGAGAGGATGGAATGCAGTTAGCTGACCCATTACTTACTTACTCCTGTTACCCCTGATGAAGTATAGGCCGCTGACTGAGATTTCCTGGTTAGCTCGTTTTTTTAACGAGCCGATTTTTCTACGAGATGAGTTCGCTAGTCCCAATGCCCAACCCGCCTAGTTTATCCCGTCTTGGGGACAGGCAGTTACCCCGGAACGGTTTCCAGGCGGTGTGTTAATCATGCAATGAACAATCATTAGCTTGATGAATACAAATGAAATTATGATCCATTGCAATGCTGACTATCTATTGGAAGATTCAACACAACTCATACAAGTCAACAAATTTTTTTTATTTCTTTACATAGTTTCACTCTATATATGCTGTGACATGTTTGATATATATGAAATTGTCTGATTTCATCAACAATCCTTAACTAGAAGCATCATGATGACCTAACCGAGCTATATTGGCTGGAACATATGTTCCTGAAGGTTCTACCATGCCAGGCAGGTCGATTGGAGAACGATGAGACTAAAAACAGCTACCCAAAGTCTGAGGGCGAAGTCGTACTGCTGACTGTGATGGAGGGGTGTGACAGCAGTAAGGTGTTTCCCTCGGACAACCAGCATCTTCAGCGATGCTGCCTTCTGACAAGGAAGGAAGCAGTTAGAAAAGGTCGACCCTAAAAATGTCACACCTCAACATACCTCACGCATTTCCGTCTCGTTGGGTAAGGGTGCCCACTAAGGGCTTTCAAGAGCGGAGCGAACACTCAAAAAACCTTTCATCAAAAGGCCGTATGTGACCGGCCTGAAGCAGTTGTCCCTTGGGCTCTGCGGTCACGCACCCAGGTCGTTAAGACCAACTCTAATCTACCTTCCTTTTCAGGTCCCTCAAGAAACAACCTTCCACGGTGTGGGCAGCCTGGAAGTGACGACCGCCCTCATACCCGTAACTGCACTGGAGACCAAATTGGTCAAAATAAAATACCCGTACTACTATGTGATTTGAATCGACAATTCAGTCTCTCTGTGCTAATGGGATATTATGACACGTTGAACTGGTGTATGTACTTACGTGTACATACAAAGTTCTACGTTGTCGCTTAATTTCTTATATGATTAATGTTTGTCCCAATTTTTATTCACATATCCAATTCTTCATTAACAATCAATCTGTTAGCTTGATTTATTTGTTCGCTTGTCTGTTGCAGGTTTTAGAAAAATTCCCAGTAGTTCAACATTTTCTATTTGGCAATTTATTATCATTTGATTCAATACAAACTATGAAGCGTTTGAACAATCAAACACCTACTACTACGGCTGAACAACGCAGTCACATTCCTTCAAATAGTAGTGATTTATTCGTTAAACCAATCACATCAACACCCACCATTTCACAACAATCGAATTCACATGCTGGTGCTGATGGCGTTGAACATTCTTGAAGTTTAGAGAAAAAAAGAAAAAGAAAAGATTTTTTCAAAGTCATTGGATCGATTATACAGTTTTAATTTTATGAGTTTTCTTTTTAAAACAGAATTGATTATGTATATATATATATATCTATAATATAATATAATATAATATATAGAGGAGAGATGTTTGCAAAACCATATAAGCATTTTCATTCTAAAACAATGGATTGTTACTTGTTTTTTTCTTCTTCTTGTCTTTGTTTTACTACTACTACTCAGTAAGTAGTAAAGTAATTTTACACATTGAAATCATGATCAATCAACCAATCATTGTTAGACTGACTTACTAGCATTAGAAGAATCCTGGAAGTATTTATTGGACAGCTGTCTCATCCTGGTATGGGACAGTGTGTATCTATGACTGCCGCTCGTGGGAATTGAACCTAAGAATTTGGTCTCGTACAAAAGTGCTTAACCTCCAGATCACTGAGCCGGCGGCATCCAACGGTGTTAATATGTAACTCTGAATGGGTTCGCATACACTGTCTTCGGTATCAATCAATCAACAGCAACGTAGAACTTTGTACGTACGTACATCAGTTCATGTCGCCATACCACATTAGCACAGAGATATAATTGTCAATATAAATCTCATAGTACTAGAGTTGGTTAAGGTATTAACAGTAATCGGAGAGATTAGGGTTCGACGATATTATTCAAGAAGTATAATCTAGTCAAATGAACTTCAAAAGATGAAGTGATGAGCAATTAAAAAGTTTAAGATTTGAGAGAACACAATGAATGATTGCACCTGCACCTGAGCCATGTCATTTATGGTCTTCAGCCATCGATTATCATCATCTCCCGGACCCCAACCAGGTAGCCTACATCTGCCAACATGACTCAGTCCACTTGTTAGTGACTTCATGGACTTGTGCCATGTTTTGGATTGGCCGCCCCTAGCTTTCTTCTAACCTACTCCTACATCACAAAACATTGTTCTTCGAGGCAGTCGGTGGTTAGGCATTCGTAACATGTCCCAACCACCTCAACTGATGAAGTTTCACCACTTCATCTATTGGTCTGCCGTCCTTACGTAGTACTCGTTCCCTAACTATAGCATTGGTTACTCGGTTGTCCCAGGATGTACGAGCAATGCATCTAAGACATCTATGGTCGAATACTAGTAACCTACGAACATCTAATCTGAATGGCCGTGTTTCACAGCCGTAAACTAGGACGGAGCGAATCACTGCGCAGTAGACTCGTCCAGTAGTCAACAAATGGATATCTCGCCTACGCCATAAGTTATGCAGGTTGGCAAAAGCCAATCGAGTCTTCTGTATCCGTGTTGAGATTTCGTCTGTCACCAGACCATCAGCGCTGATGCGACTCCCAAGATAAGTGAGGTGTTCAACACACTCAACTGCTTCACTCCCTATCACTAGTTCAGGTGCCGATGCAACCCAGTCTTGAAGCAACATTTTGCATTTCGAGGATGAGAATCGCATCTCGAACTTACTTGCATTATTGCTCAGGGTAGTCAGTAGACACTGCACTTTGTCAGCGTCTTCACCGAATAGTAGCGTGTCATTGGCATACTGTAAGTCAACAAGCTTGTGTCTTAATAGAAGGTCTACTCCTGAAAATTCAGACGAAGTTAATGTTATATCTAGCAACATGTCTATGATAAAATTAAACAAGAATGGAGAAAGTGGACATCCCTGACGGACACCACTTGAAGTAAAGAATTCCGATGACGGTTCGCATAAGCTCTCACCCGACCTGTAGTGTTCGAGTAGAGAGCTTGTATAAGGTAAATGGGTTTTTTTTGGTATACCTTTTAACTATAGACACTGCCACAGAACCTCATGATCCACTGAGTCGAATGCCGCCTTATGTTCCTGGGAGACAACTATTGTTGGACGCTTAAATGTATGTCTGTGTTCCAGGACCTGTTTTAGTGTGAAGATGCGGTCCATACAACCACGTCCAGGTCGAAAACCAAACTGGTTTTCTCTAGTCTGCTCTTCACGACCTCTAATTAGGCATCTAAGTATGATCGAGGCTACACAAGAATACCTTTGTCTTTTCTTATAAATTGGGACGATCAGGGATTGAGACCAGTTTGTTGAGATTACATCCAGTTCCCAGATTCTACCTAAGATCTCAGTCAATCTGTCTACTAAAACTGGACTAACATCCTTAAAAATCTAAGGGGTAAATTTTATTAGGTCCTGCTGCTCTCCCTCGCTTCAGATTTCCTATGGCTTACTCAATTTTATCAGCGGCGCAAGGTGACAAACGATCGAAGGAGGAGTTGTTCAAATAGATGAGAGAGTTGTTAGGAGGTGTAGAAAGGATTTGATCTTGACCAATTTCGTCTCGTGTGCTTTTATGGGGTTAAGGGTGGGTGTTAATTCCCTGCTGCCCACACTGTGGAAGGGTTCTGATTGTCAGAAGGGACATCAGCCTCATGACTTACAAAGGAACTCGGCTTTCATCTTGAGACTCTCCTCCTTTATCCGGACTTGGGACCAGCAGTAGCCCCGGGGTTACTGTCTTTGGTAAGCACTACTTCACACCGGAACATGGTTGAGCTTCACTGGTCACGACTTCTTACTGGATCTCGAGGACTTCGAAATGAAATAATGAGATTACAGTTCATTGAAGAGAATCGCAATTGAAAATTCACCAAAATTATGTAGGGTTGACTAGTGACATTTTAAATACAATAATCAAGTTTAAGTCTTCAAAATTCTTATTATAGCCTCTGAGAATCTTGATAACTTGGAATCAGGCTGTTTATTGATAACTATGAAACAATTTCATTTGATCTATGTAGTACTCAGCTATCTAGCAGTTGACTTGCTACTTAAACCAACTTCCTCAAAGCCTAAGGTCTTTTTGAGGTATGTTCATGAAAAAAAAATAGTGGAAGTCTGCTTTCCTGTCCTACTTCCAGTGTAAATTGTTAAATGCAGTTGTGGAGGTTACAACGCAACGGTTACTGATCTACTTTTTATTGTGTTGGTGAGCGTAGAATTGTATAGAATAGGATCAACTTCTTAACAGATAATATACTTATTGGAAACTGCTTTTAGGATCCGATTGATTTTTACTGACTATTTCATCATGTTTTAGTGACAAGCAAATGGAAAAATTCTTCCTTTTAGTGGTTGAATTCTTTCGTTGTGGTGGTGTTTCGTTCTCTTTGATCTGGATGTTTTGATTGTGAAGCTTTTATTGTTCTTCTGAACAGTATCGTCAGCACAAACTTCAGATACAGGAAGTGAAGTGTTCGAATTTGTCCACATTTGACCTGTAGCTAGTTCTGCTAACCTCGATCTTGATTGGTTGATGTTGACCTTAAACCTGTCGTTGTTTTCACCTTTTTTTTGATTGTACCCCCATTTTGATCTGTTTCTTGATCCTATGTCACCTACGATTTTCCTGATCGATTAACCTGAAAGCCAAGCTTTTAAAAATTCTTTCGTCTTACATTGGAATCCAGAACGTTATTTTCTGATATCGACTGAATGTACCCATTTTCTTACAAACAATTATTTAGTACAGCATACTTAAACTTTTCTGGTGACCATGAATATTTATTCAGAAAACCCATTCTACTTACAAATTTAATCAGTAGCTTAAGTTTTATGCATCATTTTTTGTTTGCCTGTACATTTGCTGATGATCAAATGTTTGTCATTCATGGAAAATTTTTATTGCATACTTGGTTAAGGTTTGAAAATAAATCTAAAAAACGGTTATTGAAAAGTAGTTCTTCACTAAGACGTTAAAATTGAGTAATCTAAATCAGTTTTTATGATACTATGTTGATTGATCACTGAATAATAAACCAGTCCTGTGTACAGATTGGTTCTACCGTTCATAATTTAATTGGTAAAACTCTACAGAGTTGGTTTGATTAGTTAAAACAGATAATGGAAATGTGATATAAAGTCTCTCCTCTGTGTATACTGAATAAACGAACCGGATATTAGTTATACCTTCTCATAAAACATATTATTTCTCTATGGACTCCAAGAGCAATAGAGTACTGAACAGACAATTTTTTGCATGATAGAGTTTTCGAGATTATTGATTTACACTGAAATAGTGAACCTATCGTCGTTAGACCAGGACCTTCGATCTCACGCACGAACGTTTAACCTCTAGACCACTGAATCGAAATCCAACGATGATGTAAATGTCTAACTCTGATCAACCTAAGGATTTTGCGTAACCGCACTCATTGTCTTCGTTAGTTATTGGATATAACTGACAGGACTAAACTCAATTGGCCACGACTCCTATAATGAAAAGTCATGCAGCATTCTCACTAGTGACTACCTTCGTGAAGAGTTCTGCTAGGATGATATGATCCGTAGCACTCAACCCTGTTGGGTGTAGGTGCCGCCTACCGAAGACAATGGGCGAGATTCCGAAAAATCCATAGGTTGGTCAGAGTTACACATTAACACAATTAACTCAGTGACTTGGTGGCAAAACGTTCGGGCTGAAGATAGAAGGTCCTAATTTCAGCTCCTGTGTGTAGCGGTAGTCTTGGATGCCCATTGCTGTTGACCAGAATGGCCATCCAGTGCTTCCACTTTCTCTAATGGTGGTCTAACGACTATTAGTTCGTCAACTTCCTTGAATGGTGTAACGTTTTCTAACCTATATTGCTGCTGTATATTAGATAACGATCGAACTGGAAACAATATGAGTTGTTCTAAAATTAAATATCCATTGTTTCAATGGAAAACAACTTTGCATCAGTCCATAGTTTTAGAGATAAAACGATTCAAAGATAATCACAATTAGACTGGCGACTATATATATTTATAATAACACACGAAACAATGTTTTTGATATGGTTTATTGTAGATTTTTATTTAACAACTGGAGACATTAAAAATACTTCACAATTGAATCACAATATATCATCCAGTTTAAGGTATTATTATCAAAAATTTTTATGTTTGAATGATCAAAATGAGTTAACTAACTGGTCAATTAAATCATGAAATAATTTTTAAAAAAAACTTTGATTTATTTATCAATCAATAGCAGCGTAGAACTTTGTACGTACGTACATTAATTAGTTCATGTTGCCAAACCACATCATGGAGCACACAGAGATGTAATTGTCAATTCAAATCCAATTGTAGTAGAGGTAGTAAAGGTATTATTAGCAGTAGTCGGAGAGGTTAGGATTAGAAGATATTATTCAA